CATGCAACATTATAAAAGGCTAGGAAGGGGTTGGTGGTGGTTATTAAATTGAAGAACTGTTCTGTAAAACTTATCAAATTAGTTCAGACCAAGGAGGTTACATTAGAAGGAGAGTGCAGGAAAGACGATAATAACACTTAAAATGTTATGGCCTTTTCTGTAAGTGGTTGTAAATTAGTTTAGATTGATTCGGTCGCAGAGGGAAACTGTGTCCTAATTAGACATCTGAGTAGGAATAAAAACACCCAAAGTGTTATAAACCGACCAATATTTTACACAAGAGTGCACACGCTGAAATGTCTCGCCTGTTTTACTGACCATTGATTTTATGTTGAAAGTCTTAAACGATAAAGGTTTTACTAAAAGCAACACAGAAATTGAGGTCAGATAAATCCTGTCAGACAGACATATACACCTTACAATTTTCTTATACACAAAATATAGTTCACCTATTGCTTATGATATTTGAAAAACAGACCAAAACAAAAAAAACATAACATTGACCAATGAACCATGAAAATGAGGTCAAGGTCAGATCATACCTGCCAGACAGACATGTACACCTAACAATCATTCCATACACCAAATATAGTTGACCTACTGCTTAAGGTACTTGAAAAACAGACCAAAACACAAAAAATAACATTGACCAATGAACCATGAAAATGAGGTCAAGGTCAGATGATACCTGCCAGACAGATATGTACACCTTACAATCATTCCTTAACCAAATATAGTTGACCTATTGTTTATAGTACTTGAAAAACAGACCAAAACACAAAAACTTAACATTGACCAATGAACCATGAAAATGAGGTCAAGGTCAGATAATACTTGCCAGACAGACATGTACACCTTACAATCATTCCATACACCAAATATAGTTGACCTATTGCTTATAGTACTTGAAAAACAGACCAAAACACAAAAACTTAACATTGACCAATGAACCATGAAAATTAGGTAAAGGTCAAATGAAACCTGCAAGACTGACATGTACCCATTACAGTCATTCCATACACTACATATAGTTGACCTACTGCATATAGTATTTGAGAAACGGACCTAATCACGTAACTTTAACCTTGATCACTGATATATGAAATGAGGTCGAGGTCGGGTGAACCCTGTCTGACGGACATGTAGACGGTGGAAGGAATCCATAAACCAAATATAGTAATCCTATTACTCATAATAAGTGAGAAATTCACATGACAAAAAAAATCAATTTTTTTTCAAACAGTCGCTGAACCAGGAAAATGAGGTCAAGGACAATAGCAATATGACAGACGGAAACTTCGTAACATAAGGTATCTGCATACAAGATATAATGCATCCGAGTCGTCTATCTTCTGAAATATAAGGTTTTATACAAATGGTTTACGCAGCCACCGCCGGATAGTAATACCTATTTCTCGCATACTGAGACTTTCGTCGCAGGCGAAACAAAAATAAGCATGTGATCCTGGCTCAATTCGCGACAGTAGACTTACTTGCGTGAAGTAGAGGTTTGGCTAGGATCCCAACTGACTGTTATAAGATACACACCAGATGTTTTCCGTTTTACATATTTCAGTCATATTTGATCATGGCCGATGATTTATTTATTAGCTATGCATAAGTGTTGGAGCTTGAAAAAGAATTTGATCTAGAACTATTCTGCATCTGCAAGACTAATGACAAGTCCAACCAGTTTTGCTGCGTAATTGATGACTGTGGAATTAAATAAATAACATTTCCTTTATAAAACATTTGTAAAAAGTGCTGGAAAAATTTCCATTATTAGTGAATGGACATGCTTTTCCTGTTGTGGTTTCTCTGTTAACAAATTGATGTCTTTTCCATTTTTTAATGAATATTTCACCCATTGCCTGAATATACAGTTGATTAGAAAAAGACAGCTGGTTATTACACAAATGGATCTACACATACCATGTGTGTTATCGAAAAAAAATCACATTAGTTAGGTACTAATCTACATGATCCTAGTATTAATGTACATGTACAAAATGAATGTGTATATTTTCTGACACCTGATCGTGTTATTAGGCCAATGTAGTACTGGCTGCTATTAACAAAATTTAAATTATACAGAATATAACGAGGAACTGATTTGGCCTGGCCACAGTGAGGACTTAAAAAAAATGTTATCATATTTGTTCAATTTTTTTTTTATTCCTTTGCATTTAGTGAGGGCACACCAATTAGAAGGAACCACGTGTATAATATTGAAAATTAAAAAGAAATAATAAAGAAATATACTAATTTTGCACATAAATGATATAATCATAATAGGGAATGTGCATATAAGGGACATAACTCAAGAACAGTACAAGTAACGCTATCCAAATTCGTACTTGATCTGAGTTTTGTGGTAATAAGCATTGTGTATAAGTTTCATAACATTTGGTTGAGGAAAACTTAAGTAAGGGAACAGAAACGAAAATTTCAGCATATTTTGCATTTGTTAAGGGGCACTCTAAAAAGGCAATAGTGATGCCAGCCAAATTCAAACTTGATCTGTGTTTTGTGGTAATAAGCATTGTGTATAAGTTTCATAATATTTGGTTGAGGCAAACTTTAGTAAGAGAACGGAAACCAATTTCGGGACGTACGGATGTACAGACGGACAAGGGTAAAACTTAATGCCCCCTCCACTACGGCGGGGGCATAAGAAGCGCCTATGTCCTGATGTCTACAGCATTACACACTCAGAAAGACAGGTTGGCCGCCCCCAAACATGATTAACCACGGCACATAGTGTATTTGTTCCTGTCCCAAGTCAGGAGCCTGTAATTTAATGGTTGTCGTTTGTGGCTGTATATCATATTCGTTTTTCATTTATTGTTTTGTACATAACTAGTTAGTTTTCTCATTTGAATTGTTTTACATTTGTAATTTCTCTTATTTTCCTTTTTGCCTTTTACAGCTTGCTATGGAGTATGGGTTTGGCTCGTTATAGAAGGCTGCAAGGTAACCTATAGTTGCCAACTTCTACGTCATTTGATCTCTGAAAGAGAGTTGTCTTATAGGTAGTCATACCATATTCAACTGTTCAGCTTAACGATAGTACCTCACATATTTGTCAATTTCTATGATTCATTGTATAAACGGCTATTTTTGTTTTCCAGGAGCCTACACGGGAAATGAAAATCTACCAGTAAGCACCTATGCTCATAAATACCTCAGAAAAAACTTTTTGGTGGTTTGATAATTTTCTCTCTCTTTCAATTATGGTTAAATATCCAAAATCTAAATACACGGTTGGAATCAGCATATCAAAGAGCCCAAGAATTTAATTGTTGATGAAATCAAACAAAGGCTTAATTTTGGACCCTTTGGACCTCAATGTGGACCAATTAAATAACAGTGCTAGAAATCCAAAATCTCAATACGAGGTTAGATTCAGCATATCCAAGAACCCCATATATACAATTTTTGTTGAAATCAAACAGGTTACTTTTGGACCCCGATTTGGACAGATTCAGCATATACAAGTACACCATGAATTTAATAGTTTATTTATTAATGGACAATATAATGTTAGTTTTTCAAGGGGTTCGCTTCATCAAAAAAAATATATATATAGCATTCTGAATATTAATTTATACAGAATAACAATCAAACCTACCACGAAGTTCTTCAAAAAATTTACCAAAAAAATTAAAAAAACTATTTCCAAAATTTCATTCCTCATTAATACAGTCCTACAAAATCACATCAAATGATGGATTGAAAATTAGCTTATCAGCCTTGCCACTTAGAAAACACAAAATTTTCAAATAAATTTGTCACTCCAATTATAAGTGTGTTAGTTGATGAATACCACTTGTTTTGTTTTCTTGATAATAGGTGGTAATTGCTGCATGAATGAATTTATAGTAAATACACAACACTTATAGATATAAGAAGATGTGGTATACTTATCCATATTCATAAATGTGAATATTTAGTTAATTACAAATGTAAATATGCAATACAAATTGTGTGAAGTTTTTATACGAAGCAAAAGTAAAAATTTCCATTTGTTTTTAATAATAATAATAATTATTTTATTAAAGAGGGTTATGCAGTTAGCTGTAAAACTAAACTTCCCTGAGGCCCCCGTGAAATACATTGAAATATAACAAACAAAGAATTACAAAATAAATATAACAAACATAGAATTACAAAATAAATATAACAAAGAATTACAAAATAAATATATAAAAACAAAGAATTACAAAATATTCAAACAAAATACACACATTAGCTAATGTGTAGGGAAATAATATATCAAAAACTTTCCTTCATTCATTTTAATATTTAATTTCCACAATTAGTTATAAAAATGTTAAAATAAACAAAATTTCAATTAACTTCATTGTTCCTGTCCAGGTAATATCAAAAACTGGACACAATCATCTCTACATAACAAATTTACAGCGCTATTTAACCATTTTATAATTGAGAGAGGATATGAAACTTTCATTCTTAAGGATTAAGATTAAGACTGAATACAAAGTCTTTAAAAATCTACAAAAGTTACATTTATACATAATTTCTTCGCTAAAATCAGATTGATTTGATGCTATATCTATTTTTAACTATGACTCTAATTACAATTTCTATTAATTGTACAATACATCTCTGAATATGGATTCTGATTAAATATTTGATATAGCATAGTTTCTAACACAGAATGAATGTGGTCTAAGTACTTAAATAATTAAACATTGGACATTTACCAATTATGATCCAATATCCAAATTCTTAATACATGGTTGGAATCAGCATATCAAAGAACACCAAGAATTCAATTTTTGAAGAAATCAAACAAAGTTAAATTTCGGACCCTTTGGAGCAATTCTAAAACGGGACACAAAATCCAAAATCTAAAAACACGGTTAGATTCAGCATATCAAAGAACCCCATGTATTCAATTTTTGTTGAAATCAAACAATGTTTAATTTTGGACCAACTTGAATACTGTGCCCAATATCAAACAAGAGTGCACACGCTGAAATGTCTCGCCTTCTTTACTAATCATTGATATTATGTTGATAGTCCTAAATATAAAGCTTTATTACAACTGTCACATAAACTTAACATTAACCAAGTAAACTAAACATTGACCAATGAACCATGAAAATGAGGTCAAGGTCAGATGAACCATGCTAGGCAGGCATGTACAGCTAACAATTCTTCCATACAACAAATATAGTTGACCTATTGCTTATAGTTTAAGAAAAACAGACCAAAACACAAAAACTTAACTTTGACCACTGAACCATGAAAATGAGGTCAAGGTCAGATGACACCTGCCAGCTAGACATGTACACCTTACAATCATTCCATACACCAAATATAGTAGACCTATGGCATACAGTATAAGAAAAACAGACCAAAACACAAAAAATTAACTATAACCACTGAACCATGAAAATGAGGTCAAGGTCAGATGACACCTGCCAGTTGGACATGTTCACCTTACAGTCCTTCCATACACCGAATATACTAGACCTATTGCTTATAGTATCTGAGATATGGACTTGACCACCAAAACTTAACCTTGTTCATTGATCCATGAAATGAGGTCGAGGTCAAGTGAAAACTGTCTGACGGGCATGAGGACCTTGCAAGGTACGCACATACCAAATATAGTTGAACTATTGCATATAGTATTAGAAAAAAAGACCAAAACTCAAAAACTTAACTTTGACCACTGAACCATGAAAATGAGGTCAAGGTCAGATGACACCTGCCCGCTAGACATGTACACCTTACAATCATTCCATACACCAAATATAGTAGACCTATGGCATACAGTATAAGAAAACCAGACCAAAACACAAAAACTTAACTATAACCATTGAACCATGAAAATGAGGTCAAGGTCAGATGACACCTGCCAGTTGGACATGTACACCTTACAGTCCTTCCATACACCGAATATACTAGACCTATTGCTTATAGTATCTGAGATATGGACTTAACCACCAAAACCTAACCTTGTTCACTGATCCATGAAATGAGGTCGAGGTCAAGTGAAAACTGTCTGACGGGCATGAGGACCTTACAAGGTACGCACATACCAAATATAGTTATCCTATTACTTATAATAAGAGAGAATCTAACATTACAAAATATCTTAACTTTTTTTTCAAGTAGTCACTGAACCATGAAAATAAGGTCAAGGACATTGGACATGTGACTGACGGAAACTTCGCAACATGAGGCATCCATATACAAAGTATGAAGCATCCAGACCTTCCACCTTCTAAAATATAAAGCTTTTAAGAAGTTAGCTAACGCCGCCGCCGCCGTAGCCGCCGCCGGATCACTATCCCTATGTCGAGCTTTCTGCGACAAAAGTCGCAGGCTCGACAAAAACCTAATTATATGCTGAGATTCAGCATATCAAAGAACTCCAAGAATTCAAAAAAATCAAACTAAGTTTAATTTTGGATACTTTGGACCTTAATGTGGACCAATTTGAAAAACAGGATCAAAATCAACAACCTAAAACACTGTTAGATTGGGCACATCAAAGAACAACAATAGTTCAATTTTTTAATGAAATCAAAGTTTAATTTTGGACCCCAATTTGGACCAACTTTGTAAACCAGGCCTAAAATCAAAAATCTAAAACACTGTTAGATTGGGCATAACAAAGAAAACCAATAATTCAATTTTTGATGAAATCAAACAAAGTTTAATTTTGGACCCCAAAATCAAAAATCGTATTTTATAACGTTTATTAATATAACTCTCAGATACAGCATATCAAAGAACCCCCAATAATTCATCTTTTTTTTCGGAATCAAACAAAGTTTAATTTTGGACCATTTGGACCTTAATGTGGACCAATTTAAAGACAGGCCCCAACATTAAAAATCTAAATGCACAGTTATATTCAGCATTTCAAAGAACACCAATAATTTAATTTTTGATGAAATCAACCAAAGTTTCATTTTTGCCCTTTAGACCTTAATATGGTTAGATTCAGCATATTAAAGAACCCCAAGAATTCAAGACTTTGAATTAAAGGGGCATTAGCTGTCAAATTCATGTTCACCGATTTGACTCAAATTTTCATGTTTGATTTATAACTTACTAAAACGTATATCCAAATTACAAAAAAGTTTAAAATAAACAATTAACAATGCATAGACTCGATAATATGTATCAGCATTTCGAGTGTATTTTTGTCTAGACGTCATCTAATTAACCATCGAGATGACCTCCAAAGACTGCCGACCGTCACAAACCCGATATAAACATAAACAGATAGCGGCCACGTCCAATTGGATTTTTCTATGTCTGTTTGAATTCATATTATAGGTTAAAAAGTATGTTTATCATCGTTTGTACCTGAATAATGATTTTTTGTGGATCGAATCAGTCAACCAAGTCGTTCATCCTTGTTTCACTTTCAATGTTGACATTCTTTCCTTTTAAAAGCTGAATCCATGCGTAACCCATCTCCAGTTAAGGGGTTTAATTGAAGGTCACACGAATAAGGATTCAATGAGGTCAAATTATTCACTTACAAGTGAATAATTCATCAGCGATGTTTCTTAGATTATTTTGACAAAATTGAACCAAACTGTCTGATAAAAGCGAATTATTATTTCACTATTTCACTTTCATTAATGATTGAACAAAAAAATAAACAGCTGCGCCATGAGCGCATGATATGCCCGTCGTTTTGTGTGTGAATATTTATGCAATAATCATAGATAGTTTCCGACATACGGCCTGACATGCGAAAACCCCCTTTTTTTACAAAAAACTCCAATATCTCTAAACTAAAATTTTGAATCAAAACCAAAAAGTATACAGATCTTAAGATTAATATAACTAAGAAGTGTGTAAAATTTTAAGCAATATTCATAAATCGTTTTTGAGATACGGCGCGACATGTGAAAAAAAACACACACCTGTTTTAGTTATTACGTCCCGTAACTCAAAAAGTTTTAATCTTATTTTCACCAAAAAGTATACAGATCGATTGACCATCATAAGAAACAACTATGTTAAGTTTCATGAAATTTGGATAAGTCATTCTCAAGTTACGGTGCGACATGTTTACGCCAAACAGACAGACGGACAGACGACATTTGTATACCATAATACGTCCCGTCAAAATTTTGACAGGCGTATAAAAATCTTTTTTTAATTTTTTCATATCTCGTAGCTAATGCCCCTTTAAACCCCATTGAAATTGGTCAAGAAATAAGCAATTTATAAAAAGTATTACAAAAATATTGTTTTTGGTCCCTTACTGTTAGGGTCATAACCACCAATCCCAACCTTCCTTTTATGATATAAAACCTTGTGGCACAATTAAATAACAATCCATAGACTTATACCCAAGTTATTGTCCAGAAACCAGAAAATCCTAGTTTGTTAACCCTTTTCCGCCCCTAATTCCTAAACGATTTGGGCCATGACCCCCAAAATCAATCCCAACCTTTCTTTTGAAGTATGGAGATAGAGATCCATACACTTATACACATGTTATTGTCCTGAAACAAGAAACATGCTTGTTTTTGGTCCCTTATTACTAAACAGCTACGACAATAACCCCCAAAATTCGCCCAACCTTCCCTTCCTATTGTGGAATGGAACCTTGTGCTAAAATTTCATAGAGATCCATAAACTTATTCTCAATTTATTGTCTGCGAACCAGAACAAGAGTGCACACGCTGAAATGTCTCGCCTTCTTTACTAATCATTGATATTATGTTGATAGTCCTAAATATAAAGCTTTATTACAACTGTCACATAAACTTAACATTAACCAAGTAAACTAAACATTGACCAATGAACCATGAAAATGAGGTCAAGGTCAGATGAACCATGCTAGGCAGGCATGTACAGCTAACAATTCTTCCATACAACAAATATAGTTGACCTATTGCTTATAGTTTAAGAACAGACGAAAACACAAAAACTTAACACTGAGCAATGAACCTTGAAAATGAGGTCAAGGTCAAATAAAACCTGCGTGACTGACATATAGATCATAAAATATTTCCATACACCAAATATAGTTGAACTATTGCATATAGTATTAGAAAAAAAGACCAAAACTCAAAAACTTAACTTTGACCACTGAACCATGAAAATGAGGTCAAGGTAAGATGACACCTGCCAGCTAGACATGTACACCTTACAATCATTCCATACACCAAATATAGCTGACCTACTGCATGCAGTATTAGAAAAACAGACCAAAACTCAAAAACTTAACTTTGACCACTGAACCATGAAAATGAGGTCAAGGTCAGATGACACCTGCCAGCTAGACATGTACACCTTACAATCATTCCATACACCAAATATAGTAGACCTATTGCATACAGTATAAGAAAAACAGACCAAAACACAAAAACTTAACTATAACCACTGAACCATGAAAATGAGGTCAAGGTCAGATGACACCTGCCAGTTGGACATGTACACCTTACAGTCCTTCCATACACCGAATATACTAGACCTATTGCTTATAGTATCTGAGATATGGACTTGACCACGAAAACTTAACCTTGTTCACTGATCCATGAAATGAGGTCGAGGTCAAGTGAAAACTGTCTGACGGTCATGAGGACCTTGCAAGGTACGCACATACCAAATATAGTTATCCTATTACTTATAATAAGAGAGAATTTAACATTACAAAAAATCTGAACTTTTTTTTCAAGTAGTCACTGAACCATGAAAATGAGGTCAAGGACATTGGACATGTGACTGACGGAAACTTCGTAACATGAGGCATCCATATACAAAGTATGAAGCATCCAGGTCTTCCATCTTCTAAAATATAAAGCTTTTAAGAAGTTAGCTAACGCCGCCGCCGCCGCCGCCGTAGCCGCCGCCGCCGCCGGATCGCTATCCCTATGTCGAGCTTTCTGCGACAAAAGTCGCAGGCTCGACAAAAATGCTTGTTTTTTGTCCCCTTTTAGCCCTTAATTACTAAATAGCTACGACAGTAACCCCCAAAATCATCCCAACCCTCCTATTGTGGTATGGAACCTTGTGCTAAAATTTCATAGAGATCCATACACTTTTACTCAAGTTATTGTCTGTGAACCAAAATGTCAAGGACAACAAGAAGAATGCTTGTTTTTGGCCCCTTTTTTACCCTTAAACACTAAACAGCTACAACAATAACCCCCAAAATAAATCCCAATCTTCCTATCGTGGTATGAAACCTTGTGCTAAAATTTCATAGAGATCCATACACTCTAATATATTCAAGTTATTGTCTGGGAACCAAAATGTTTTCGGACGACAAATGTTTTCGGAAGACGCCGCAGACATTGCCATAACATAATAAGAACGCAAAAATTTTGCGGTCGTATAAAAAATTGAAAAAAATCATGTACATACAAAATCTTGATTTCTGAACATGTATTTGCGGTCTTCTCAATCTATTCACATTCAATGTTTACATCGGGACAAGGTCCTTAATTTGATAAGTAACTAAATTTCAAAAGGGTTAATCTTTGCTTTATATCAATCGATTCCTTTCAAATTTTTTTCTCTGTACTTCTCTGATCTAACTGCATACATATACATATAATTGGCATGTTCCAGAGAGGTATACTGTGAGCTAGTAGAAAAATAAATTGAAGTTGGTACTCCAGAAATTTATGTGCACAGCAACATTTTAAACCAATTTTACACAAAGCTCCTATAGCCTTCTGTACTTGTTGTTTGCTACTTTAAGAAGGAAAAGATACATTATATGGAAATTTTTTTTTTATTTCAATTCATTTTATATTGTTACTATAATATAATTACCAAAACGTTTTGATGAAAATTGATAGGTAATATCATAGAAAATAGAGGAATATGTGAGCTCCTTTCGTTTCGGTGACCGGTTGTGACCGGAGCAAATATTTGTAATTGAAACGAAGAGAAATTTATCGAGAGGCAGCGAAAAGTTTGTTTCTCATGGCGTAATGCTGTAGATATATGAGCAAAGGCGCTTAGATTTTCACCTCACATGTTGGGAAATTGTGGGTTAAACCCTTAAAGGAATATGTAAGGTACTTTTATTACGGTGACCCATTGCGACCAGAGTGATCTTTTTTTTTTATTGAAACAGAGAGGAATTTACTGGCTTAATAACACGATAAAGTGTCAGAAAACTAACACTTGCATTTTGGACATTAATACTAGGATTGCCAGGCATGTAGATTGGTACCTATATTACACTTTTATATTTCAACAATACACATGTTATGTGTAGATTTTTTTTTCAATAACCAGACATCTTAATCAATACTTATTTCAGGCCATGCATGGTTGTAATATTCATTAAAAAAATGGAAAATACGTCAATTTGTTAATAAAGATACCACGACAAGAAAAGCGTATCTATTCTTTTATTTACAGACATTTTTCCTGCACATTTTAATACATGTTTTATGTTGTAAATATTAATTCCATATATATATACATCAGTTACAGAGCAATTCAGGTCAGTTGAAACGTTCGTCTTGCAGATGCAGATATTTCTAGATCAAATTCTTTTTCGAGCTCCAACAATTCGGCATCACTTATAAATAAATCATCAACCATGATCAAATAATGACTGAATTACCTCAAAAGTAAACATTCTGTGTGTATTTTTTAATAGCATGGGATCCTGGCTAAACCTCCACTTCTCGCAAGTAAGTCTTATATATATGCTGTCGAGAATTGAGCCATGATCTCAGGCTTATTTTGTAAAATCTCGGATGGTTTATAACACTTCGGGTGTTTTCGTTCTTACTCTGATGTGTAATTAGGACAAAGTTTCCCTCTGTGATCGAATCGGTCTCAACTAATTAACACCCACTTACAGAAAAGGCGGTAACATTATATGTGTAATTATCATCTTTCGTGCTCTCTCCTTCTCATACAACCTCCTTGTATTTACAAACTTTCAAGCACCTTTGAGTTAAAAATTTTATAAAAAAAAAGTTACATTAAATAATAAAAAGCTCCACTGGGGCGCAGCTAAATACGACCGCAGAGGTCGAATCCTGAACATTTTGGGCAAGTATGGACACTATATTCAAGCTTGATACAGCTCTGAATTTGGACTGTGATTAAATATTTGACACAGCATATGTTTCTGACACAGAACGAATGTGGTCGTAGAACTGAAAAATTTGAAATCAGACGTTTACCTATTATGGTCCAATATCCAAAATCTAAATACAGTTAGATTCAGCATATCCAAGTACACCAAGAATTTATTTTATTTATTTATTAATGGACACTATTAGCTAAGTTTTTAAAGAGGTTCCCTTCATAAAAAAAAATATATATACATAGCATTCTGAAAATTTATTTATACAGAATAACAAACAAACATACCACAAAGTTCTTAAAAAAATTTACCAAAAAAATGAAAAAAAAAGATTTCCAAAATGTCATTCCTCATTAATACAATGTCTTTAAAAAATCTTTAAGACTTACCGCTCATTATTTTTCAAAATATCTAACAATGAACAGGAAATTTCAAACATTATTTATACATAGTTTCTTCTCTAAAATTAAATTTGATGCTGTATCTATTTTTATGAATAAAACTAATCTATTCAATTTTTAGAAATTTACCTGTGACGTCACAAAATTATGTCACTTTTTGTAGCGTTGATCCATTAACGTAACGCAGTTTATACTTCGTTGTGGTGTCATGTGCTGGGAAGGTGTCCGTTGTTATTCTGCGGTTTACATGTTGTAATGTACTCCTATATTATTTATTTATGTATTTCTCTGTGCTGACTGTTCTTGCGTTTGTTTGTACTGTATTCCTGTCACGTAGTGTTGTCATTTTAACAGTATTTTTAACATTGCCATATAAGCGGGAGGTTTGGCTAGCCATAAAACCAGGTTCCACCCACCATTTTTTCTTAAAATGTCCTGTACCAAGTCAGGAATATGGCAGTTGTTATCAAATAGTCCGTTTCTGTGTATGTTGGCGTTTGTTTTTGTTGCAGATAGTGTTTCTTTTGTTCCGTTGTTTTCCTCTTATAGTTGATTTGTTTCCCTCAGTTTTAGTTTGTAACCCGGATTTGTTTTCTCTTAATAGATTTATGACTTTTGAAGGTATACCACTATTGCCTTTATTTAACTATGACTCTACTAACAATTTCTATTAATTGTACAATACAGCTATGAATTTTGATTTCGATTAAATATTTGAAAAAAAAGTAAAATAACTTAAATAAAGTAAAAATACTGAACTCCAAGGAAAATTCATAGCATAATTTGACATAGCATAGTATCTGACACAGAATGAATGTGGTCTTAGAACTTTATAAATTGCTTCGCCGGGCGCAGCTGGATACGACCGCAGAGGTCCAACCCTGAACAGTTGGGGCAAAAATGGACACAATAAATTTGCGCTTGATACAGGTCTCAATTTGGATTGTAATTAAATATTTGACACATAATAGGTTTCTGACACAGAATAACTGTAGTCAAAGAACTTAGAATTGGTTATATGATTTGAATTTATATTCAATTTTTTGCTTTTGTGCAATACACTGTGCCTGTGCGAATTGACAATAATAAGCATTGTGTGTAAGTCTCATAACATTTGGTTGAGGCTAACTTAAGTAGAGAACAGAAACTAAAAATTCGGCAATTTTTCTATTTGTAAACTCCCATAACTCTAGAATGGTTGTGTATAAGTGTTATGACATTTGGTTGAGACAAACTAAAGTTAGAGAACGGAAACGAAAAATTCAGCAATTTTTATGTTTATAAAGGGACATAACTCAAGAATGGTACAAGTGTCGCCACCAAATTTCGTAATTAATTTGTATTATGTAGTAGTAAGCATTGTGTATAAGTTTCATAACATTTGGTTGAGGCAAACTAAAGTTAGAAAACGGAAACAAAAAATTTTTACTTGATCTTAGTTTTGTGGTTATGAATATTGTGTATAGGTTTCATAATGTTTGGTTGGGGCAAACTAAAGTTACAGAATGGAAACTAAAAATTTTGCAATCTTTCAATTTATAAAGGGGCATAACTCAATAATGGTTAAAGTGACACTACCCAAATTCAACTTGATCTGTGTTTTATCAGTGGAAGTCAAAATTAAACATTGCATTGTATAAAGCATTGATTGTGTTTGATTCAACTATAATCATGGACAAAGGAAGATAACTCCAATTTTAAAAATTACTTGATATTTAGAAGAAAATAAAAATTTTGCAATTTTTCCATTTATAAAGGGGCATAACTCTAGAACGGTTAAAGTGAAGCCACAAAAATCCAAACGTGATCTGTGTTTTGTGGTAATAAGCATTTTGTATAAGTTTTATAACATTTGGTTGAGGCAAGCTTAAGTTAGAGAACGGAAACTAAAAATTTTGCAAATTTTCCATTTGTAAAGAGGCATAACTCTAGAACGGTTAAAGTGACGCCACAAAAATTCAAACTTGATCTGTGTTTTGTGGTAATAAACATTGTGTATAAGTTTCATACCATTTGGTTGAGGCAAACTTAAGTTAGAGAACGAAAACTAAAAATTTGGCAATTTTTCCATTTATGAAGGGCATAACTCTAG